TGAAGTGGTTTATTGTATTCTCAGATGCTGGATTCAAGTAGGTAAACAATGAAACAGCTAACTGCTCTCGCAACAATGCAACTGTGGGGCGTGTCCAGGAAAACACCACCAACAATGCACGTAACACGACAGGAGATTCTGCCTTTTTTTTTTGGCTGTGGTACAGTGACAAGAATTTCCACCGTCAGGCCAAGGCGTCCAACTTTTGTTGTTCCCAAAATGTACCGAAAGATATCGTGTAAGTGCGGAATGCGACCGGCGTCTGAAGCCACAGTGCCGTCGCTGATAATCGGGGAAACTTGCAGCGGTTGTGAAATTACAACTGTTTGTGTTATTCTTAGCACGAACAAGTTTGCTTTATAACTGTGTTATGTGACGCAATCAGACGGAGGGCCACGCCAATATTTCGTGCATTCGTATGCCAGACATGTTGAGTAAAGTGCATAAACTAAGTTTCCTTCTATTTTTGTTCACTGCGTGTCGCATAGTTCGTAAGGTAATACGGCATGGAACATCTTGTACATATACATCACTCTTACGAAACTTTCAATTTCGTGTACTGTGGATTTTGAATTTGATTATTTGTAAGATTTGAAGTTTTCACGGCGGTGACTATGTAGAATGCCGTCTTCTGGGATATGGCGCCGTGTAGATCCTGTGTGAACCGGCGTTTCGGAGGAACTTATCGCCTCCATCTTCATGGTAGAAAATCCGCGAGCGAGGAACCAGCTTGAGCAGGTTGCTGCAGGGCCGTACGTTTCAAATTAAAGAAATATCTTCTATCAAAGTACTAACATTTATCCCAGTTCAGTATCCAACGCGCGCGCGGTGCCAGTTCTGAGTCACGATGTAAGTGAACTGTGGCAGGAAAGAGCACGTGGGCTACAGGAACAGTTCGCAGCGGAACGGGAACACGAACTCTGTGTATACAACAGTAATGCCGTAAGGACCTGTTGAGGGTGAAATGATTAGCCTCGTCAGTACACCGAGCTCACCTGTCTGCTGCCATTGTTGTGTCTGTCTGTGGGTAGGAACTGGCGTGCCTTGCCGTCAATATTCGTGATTTATGGACAGGGCGTCCGCCTCGGAGCAGTGGCAGTCATAATGAAGTGTGAGCAGTCAGGCTGTTGCGTTTGTCAGCTCCGAGGAAACGGGTAACGAAGTACCAGGTGCTCGAAGCACTCGGGTTCTCTTCTCAGAAACCTAACTATTAAAATAAACAGAACTGTAATTTCTCCTGTTTTTTGAGTGTGGAACTCTTGTCCCCCATCCATAGGGAGGAACACAGACTTAGCCTGCCTAACGTAATGTAACCCAAAACTCTGAAAATAGGGTGCTGAGGAGAATATTCGGACCTAAGAGACAGACAGACAAGCGAATGCGGAAAATTATATGAGTTACATAATTTGTAAGTTCCTCTTAGCACTAGGTGATCACGTCTGAAAAGAGAATGTAGCACGCATGAGGGATATGAGAGATGCACACAAAACTCTACGCAGGAAACCCAAAACAAAGAAATCACTCGGGAGATTGTGGCATAAAACAGAAAAATATTAAAAGTAAAAAAAAATGTAAAGTTGTTCCGGTGCTTAACTAATTAAGAACCACGCCATGAAGGCGTATGTGGAAGTGGATGTATAGATCCACATTTTCTTGACGTGATTCTATGTAGGGCGTGAGGTGCGATGTGGATGTAACAAGATAAGGTGCAATATCTGAATTTTGTGAACACGGTAATGAACCTTAGGGTTAAAAAGGGGGGGGGGAGAATTTCGTAGACAGTTGAAAGCAAGACTTAACTGAACTACAGAACTTTCACCAGTTTCGTAGCGGTGAAGCTGTACGAGTATGTATGTATGTATGTACCAGTACAGTTCGAAATCACTGCCCGGGGGGGGGGGGCATGACAAGGATCACCAGTTGCTAAGCAAATATCCGAGCTTTCACATGTCTGACCCTCGAAACCATTACGTCAGAATGACGTTATGTGTCAAGGGACAATTTTCCTTTTGCTCTTAAGCTGCTGTCACTGTTCATCGAATTATATCGCGACCTTGAACACATCTTCATGGCCCTTGAACGGTGTACTTTATGCCAGTCAGAAGACAATGTTTACGTGTTCGGTTTCTTCCAGCATTGACGATAAAAAATTAAGATTATGGGTACACGATCTGATATGGCTCACCTCCCACAAATCACCCCCTAAACGCTTAAAAGTGCAGCAATTTATATATGGCACTTTCTTTCCCTTTAGAAACGTTTCCACGCAGTGTTCCGTATGGTTCTCACAGTAAACAGCGACTGTTTCCTTAAACAGCATTAACCGGTTGGGCTCTCTAGCGGAGACGTAACGTGTTTCCTGTGAGGTACGGACTGAATTGCTATATATTCTGCCCACACAATGTATCTGTGTGTTTCGTATGATTCCCAGAACAGCAATTATTTTCCTAAACAGTGTTTTCTGACAATTCTGCGAATTTTTAAATATTGCTTAGTCGAACCCCAGGCTTCAGGGAGCCAGTCCTGCTCTGACTGCTTACAGCCGGATACATTTCAGGATCTTTCAGTGAATGAACGAAGCTCTGGAGCTACGTCACTTGTCTTTCATTTCACAGGAAGTTCACCCCCACAAGCCGTGACGCAAGTTCCTTTAGCTTCTGAAATGGACCAGGTCCAGTTCTGCTTGCCCATCACTCGATGCCAGGGGACCGTGCGGCAGTAATCAAGTCTGGAAAGCTGCAGTTTGCACTTGCGTGCTGTGGCCCCTTCACACAGCCGTGTTAACTGGTTACTGTGGCTGCTCTGGTACTTGTCGTCATCGTCGCGATTAGAGCGCTTGCTTCAATTAGTGTGGCTACCATTGGTTACCAAATCTTACTTTTTTATTATACAGGGTGTTTCACGACTTTAGGGCATAACTGCAGGAGGTGATTTCCAAGGTCTCTGTGATCAAAAAAGTTCATATAAAAATGTGTCCGATTTTGGACGGTTACGGAGTTATGACCGTTTTTTCATTCCCGTACACGCCCTCATGTGAACCGCGCCTGTCAGCTGGCGGGTCGCTATCTTTAGCCAGCCACAGCTAGAGCGTTCTCGTTATCTCGACACTTGAGAGGTTCCTAAGGCGGGGTGGGTTGGTATGTCCGGCGCGGTTCACAACCGAGCGGCAGCCTGTGTTGCGGCCGGCGGTTGCATTTACGAAAATGAGTTTTAAGCACCAATAAATTCAAATTAAAGGTAATTTCACGAAGTTAACTTTACATTGATACTTTAAATGTATCATGTATTATGCTGGTTTATTATTTTGTTCCGTTTATTGTCAGTAATCGTTACCTTCTATTCTGAGTTTAAAACGGTCATAACTCCGTAACCGTCCAAAATTGAACACGTGTTTATGTGAACTTTTTTGATCACAGAGACCTAGGAAATCGCCTCCTGCAGTTATGCCCTAAAGTCGTAAACATCCTGTATATTTTTTTTCTCATGGAGTGAGTCCATTTGGTACTGCGGCCACTAATTGACCAGCCCCAGACGATAGATGATAATGATTGTGGAGCAGTCGGTGGAATGTGAATTGGCGGGAGAAACCGAAGTACTCGGGGAAAACCTTCCCCAATACCACTTTGCCCACCACAAATCCCACATACCCGGGCCGCCGCGGTGGGAAGCCAGTAGCACCAGTGCCGCTCTCACCACGAAGGAAGCCGCGAATTTCGCGCGATCTCCAGTGGCATGTCATACGTATCAAATTTCAGCGGAAACATGGGGACGGACAGACATAGACGCATAACAGTATGTAGGAATTAGTACGACAAGGAACTGGCACTTTCGTTTTCTGTAGTTCATAGGCACTTTGAAAGCGCGACGCTTGTCTGGCCGCACGGGAACGCGCGGGTGATGTCAAGTAACAACATGAACTCGGGGGGGGGGGCACCGCCGGAAGGTTTACTTACAAACCTACGTTTAAGCCGAAGGGTACGCTCTTCTGGGATCTAACGCCATGTAGTTCAGAGATAGCCCTACGTTTCGGAGGAATATGTCACCTGCATCGTCAAGCAGGAAGCCAGTAGAAGCAGGCAACAAGCTGGGTTCACTTTGTCGCTTCATTCCCCCGGTTTCTTGCGTTGCCTACAATACGATCCTGAAGAAAGATACGATATGTAACTGCGAAACTTCGGGCTCTCTTCTAAACTACACGGCATTAAGACCGTACTGCTCACAGTTACCGCCAGGAAAACTGCAAATCGAATTATGTTTAAGTCGTTTAAGATCACTTTTACTGGTAGCCAGGATGAAGGGGGGGGGGCGCAAATGCCTGACTTGTTTCCTCTACGGCGCCCATGGAGGCGTTCCTGACGTGAAGGCAATGTGTGGCTCATGAACGCAAACGAAGCGGCCGACGAATTATCACAGCGGTTCTGCTGTTTAGTAATTGGAAGTGAAATTCTGAATTGCGACAAATACGTATTGTGAAGCATCCTCAGTAAGGGCCCAGATGGATAAAGTTACTTGGAAGCTATCCAGCTTAAACGTTAACGGTACCAGAAGACGCTTGGGGAATGCTAAGAGAATACGTACAGCACAACAAACACAGAGTCACACAGTGGATATGACTTCTGTATCATCGCCCAAACATTATGTCACGTTTTCAGATGTTACACTTGAATAAACACACGAGAAAGATTTGTCTGAAATATTTAAGATCACTCCATTACAAATTCAGTGTGAGTCCAACTGTCTGCTTCCTGTCTGCTAACAATTAATGTACTTCTCCTTAAGTAATACCATTTCGTGCACTGTTTGTTTTCCGTGCTGATCCAATGGCGGCGCTAGTGTGCACCGCTGTCGTGGCGGCGCAGGTATAGCGCTCCAATAAGAGGTCAGGTCTGGGACGCTGCATTCTTAGCGCCGCCATTGCATCCGGCAGAAGCATTGACAATAACCCACTAACAATGTCTTTCTCTTTGTCTTGTGCCTTGTGTGGTGTGTGGTAATTGCAGCCGACACACCGAAACAAAGGAGACTAAATCATCCTCGTGGAAAGGAGCTGATATTCCCTCAGCGGACGGGTTCACAGCCTTCTCAAGGTGCTGGTTGGTTCTGATCTAAAGCAAAACTAATTGTTGTCTTGTTCTAATTCAGTTTCATTTCTTGGTGCTTTTAACTTTGTAGTGTTGCGCTTAATTTCACACGTAAATAATTATTTCCATCTGTTAATAAGAACGTCGATATTCTAGAATTAAGTGTTACGAGCATTTATTCAATTTAGTGACGTGTAGCTCTCTGCCCTGAGTATTGAATTTCCTGTACATTCACGGTAGCTTCTAGCAAGAATAATAAATTGTGGCTTTGGCTTATTGACCGTAGAAACCCAAAATATGGATCATAACTGAACACATGTTCAGTCCTTTACAAACAGACCACATATCTCGGCACAGTGTGTCGACCTTGGGCCGTTCACTTCAGAAGCTCTTAAAACCGCTGAAGTTAGGCCGCAGTAATAGAATAGTTGTTGGGCGGGACCTGGTATTACCAGAACTGCTGGCAGAGAGCTCCCATGTTCCTTGAAAGGTCTGAATATCTGTGACAGAATTGAAGGTTTCCATTTGGTAGACTTAGTGGGTAATGCGTAGGGTGCTCGAAGGTAGGCGGTAATCAGGTGCACACAACACGCTCTGTTGTTTCATTATTCTTGCTTTCATTCTGAGGAAACATTTCTTAGTGTTCAAAAGCCTTCTTTTGACTTGCAATTTGTGTCTGGGCGTGGACAACTCCACGCCTGTATTGTTGTCTGCGTATTGTTGCACGTAGTCTCCTGCCGCTTCGAGCACTGCATATGCAGATTTCTCGCATCAACATTTTGAAGTAGGAGCTAACAGGACATAGTCCCCCCATCACTTACAGCACCACCTCCACGACGTCGGCGGCCTCGACCGACGCGCAGAAGGGCGACGTGCGGACTTGGCTGGACGGATTCAGCTCCCCCCTTATCCAGGACGAAGGCAACAACAAACTCCTGAAGTTGCGGTTCGATGTGAGCCAGTACCAGCCCGAGGAGATTGTCGTCAAGACTGTGGACAACAAGCTGTTGGTAAGTCTGCTTCAGGAGCGCATGTCACAGGTTGGGGGAAACGTTCCAAAATGTACCCTGCTCTGTACTCACGTCTGGCCCCCTCCCCCCGCGGGTCACGGCCATTTATTCTGAGCCGAAATCTGAATGATTTGGATGAAAATTCATGTTTAAGATCATGGCTTGAATCAAAATTAAATTCAAGAAAGATACATTAAATTAACCTACCGTTTTTTTTTCCCCTTATATGAAGTTATATCGCCAGCATAGAAGAGTTTTGGTCCGAACAGATGTAAGCACGATATAACTGTCCAATGTCCTAGTAAAGCGAAAATGTGCCAACATCACTGGCCCGCCCGGTACTTGCCTCTTGTAACCACCGCTGGGCACCGCTCCCCGACGTCTCTCACGCCATAAGCATTAGGCAGTCAGATGGACCTTACATTGCAGGCCAATTTGCGGCCTCCTGGGATCTTCCGTGGAAAATACGGTGTTCTGAGTTGTAACGCCGGGTAGTTCGGAGACAGCCCAGTGTTTCGGAGAAATATATTGTCTCCATCTTCAGGATCGAAGAGTGGGGCAGGCGTTATCTGAGATCTCCGCCTACATCTGCAGGTTTCTTGCATGGCTTACTCTTCTACCTGAAGTTAGAAGCGATATGTAACTTCGAAACGTCAGTCTCCCAACTACACGGCGTTACAACCCAAGAAGACGGCATGCTTCATAGTGACAGCCAAGAGAACCCCAGATCCATGTCTCTGTAAATATGTACCGCTGCACATTAAGACAAAGTCAGAGAACCTGCGGTGACGCGCGTTTAATTATCTTCAAACCCTTGCGACATGAAGAAAAGGTGTTCTGGATGTAAAACGCGCGTTTCGCTTTTTCTCTGCATCCCCTGCTCGGAACTTCTTCGCTCCGATAAATATTTAGCGAGTTGCGGTCGAAATGTCCGCAGACGCTTGTGTAAGTATTCATGTAGTACTCGTTGTCAGATTGTAACGGAAACTGGAATGCGTAGACACGTTTCAGTAAAATTCTCAAATTCCATTTTAAATACAGAAACTCGTTTAGCTATTCTCGAGTTGTTACATACGGACAGACAGGCAGGAATGTCGAAGATAGTAGGCCCATATTTGCAACTTCTCGTTTTGAGACTTGCCCATTAATTGAAACTTGGCGTGATGTGTTGTTGGCCTGTTCTGCCAAGTCACACCACTTTCTCAGAAGGGAAAGTAAAATTAGAAACTTCTGTTTGGATTACGGCTTTTAAAGGCAACACGACGCCCCACCCCATAGAGAAGGCTGTATTGCTTACATTCTTAGCTGAGATCCTGCGAGAGATGTAGTGAAAAGGGAGGGTTGAACATTGGGGAGGTTTAGCCACGAACTGTCTATAGCAAACCGTAATCACCCCAGACATTGGATTGCTTGTTGCGGTATTGTTCTCACGGGGGTCAATTCACCAACACGCGAAATGCCAATTCTCTCTTTATCGCAAGAGTCACGTCAGCTGAGCTCCTTAAAAAGTGCACAAGTTACAGAGTCTGTTCTGGGAAGCCCAGGTTCAGACTCTTAACCTCTTATTGAGACAGCGCATGTCTTCGGAGCTGACGGCTTACCTTACCCAGTAAATTGGCTCGGGAGGTGTCCAGCTCGAATTTTGGACGGAACACCGACTCCTGTGACTAAGGATCTTTCGTGGTATACTTCAGGGTTAGGACATCAATTCGGCCACGATACCCCCCTTCCCAATCCTTCCCAATTCATCTTTCCTGCCGTTCAACGACGTACGAGTCTCAGCGACGTAGTCGTAAAATAACCCGCATATAAAAATAATATAAATCGCTCTTAGCGAATTCATGACGTTTCGGCCTATCCGGAGACCGAACATGCTATAAAAGCTAGCAAGCATGTCATAAAATGTACAGTCTCTTCATGAGTACACGGCGCACCCTTCTGTTCAAGTGTTCAGCTCGCCATTTGTGGACAGACAGCTCTGCTACTCCCGTTTGTCAAGGCTGCAGTGAGATTGCATCATGTTACGTTACACAAGTTCCAATCACCATTTTGTTTGCAACGCTGCCATTAGGTAATCAGGTTCCCACCGCATTTCAAGGTAGCCATCAGATTTACCAATAGTTCACACTTCTTCAAATGTAAAAAATCGAAATGAATTAAGCAGTGGATAAGTTCACACTTGATAAATCGGTCGTGCACTTTAATAACATTTGTAATAACTTATTTGCTGTTGAACGAAATTGGATGAAATATTCGCAGATCCATCTGTATACGCGATAAATTAGTTTCTTACATTAAAACACGTCCCGCGTGTCTCGCTGGATGCAAGGGTTGTCTGAAGCCCGAAATCGGACATTCTGCATATGCGTCCTCCCTTCTAGATGCCCGGACTGGCCCGCATTAGCGCACAGAAGCATCATTTGCATTCTGCGCGGAAACAGCGACGAGTCATCAGGACAGATTCCCCATGCAGTGCTGGGTCGGACCCCAGTCTGCTGTGCTTAACGTCTCACAGTCGTTGGAAGTCAGCCGACTTTTCAGAGGAACTTGTCGCTTCCATCTTCAGGTTTGAAGAGCAAGCCAAGCAAGAAACCAGCATGAAGCAGGCAGCGAGGAAAGCTAGACTTTCATACCCGTTAGGGATTTGTTTTGTTGCGTATTTCTAGAATGGCCATCTTGCACGTGTAGGGGTGTACATGCCCGCACCAAGGTCTCGAGCTCAAGGCGGCCCAAGGGTGACCATAACATTATTGATTCTGAAGTTTATACCAGTGTTCATACGTATTTGTCACATCTTGCTGTAACTGGCATTGATTGAGCGCCCCTGTACTGCCAAGCAGGTGTGGCCCGTGTGAAATAAAGTAAGTACAAGCGCTTGTGACGGTTAAAGCTGGATCTTGATGTGTTTGGAGTTGGCGTTGGGTATGTTCATGCAGGAGGGCCCGTTCCGACGCTGTTTATTGTGAGAATACACACTGTGTGGGCGGAATGCTGAGTTTTTAATATAAAATCACACCGTACATACGGTTACTGCTCTGTTTAACGGTCATGATTTTCTGTGCGTAATTTTATGACTCCATCAGTGACTAGACTATACAGTATCGAGTGGCAGGATGATTGATGAACTGGAAAGGATTTGAAAGGAAACTTGTGCAGGACAGCCGATGCCCCAGTCGAGATTGGAGCGGAGCGCCTGCCAAATATGAATAAGGAGCGTTACCGCTATGCTAACCTTTCGGTATCATACTCTATAGCTATATCTGTCAGTCAGGAGTTGGGCCACTCGTCGGCCCATCCGTCACCTCTGTTCAGAGACCTTCCCCGGTTTCTGAAGTCACGATTCATTGCATTCTGTCGCCATGTTGGAGCGTCCTGCCTGTAAACTTCGTCCGGTTGAGATGTGTCCGTATTTCTCTTGTGGTTCGTACAGCTGTTTCGCTGCTCGTCTCAGAACAGTTACCACCATTCTTCCAGCCTGACGTCACTCTCAACGAAAGGCGGATGGCATACTTCTCGCCGTGACAGTCTGAATGGGGTCTGTTCATGCAACAAAACGCTGCCAGTCCCAGCGCTGTGTGGGTGAGCACTGACTCCACCACCAGGAGGAAGGCTGGGACTCAAACTAAGCCCGTCACTTGACAGAGCACACAAATCAACAAGAGTCAGTACAACTGCGCGTCTTTCCGCAGCCAAGAAAAATTTCCAGTCCTATTTACATCCCACTTTTCGTCTTCTGGGTTTTAACGTCAGGAAACCTTGTCTCAGTGATTGGCATTGCCTAGATCCTCACTGCACTGCGCTGTTTCATACTAAACATGGCGGCCAGACTCCGGTGACTCTGTTGTTTCTGCGTCTGAACGGGTCACGATCTCTTCGTGCATTATTCGTCTTCGCCTTAATAAGGCAACACGTGGAACGAAACTTCAGGGTCACGTGGTTAGCGCTTCTGTTTCACGTTCAAATCTTGACCCGGTGGTCGGATACCGTGAATTTTTCGCTGTTTTTCTCAGCCTTTCCGGGCACATAATGGCATAGTGCCTCGCACTGGGCTAGACTGGTTCCTGCCACATCCTTCGCACCATTCTGTGATGCTCACTCTGTGGAAGCAAGCGTCTATGCAAACTGATCACAATGACGACTGGAGCAGTCCATATTGGGAGGGCAAAGTGACTGGGTGGAGGCGTGAGCTGACGTGGCCTCCACGTGGGCAGGTGGCACCGAGTGGGCGAGTGACATTCATGTCATAGAAACCTGAGGTTCGTCACATGACGGCATGCTGGAAATGCGCACATCAGGAAAGGATTATTTGGTTGGAATGTTAACTTTTTAATGCCCAGTAGTAAGTACATGTACCGCCTGTTTTGAAGTAACAGAAACTCTGTATTATGCCCCCCCCCACGCAGTGTAATTATGTGTTTCGTATGGTTCTCCCAGTAAACGACTGTTACCGTGAACAGCATTAACCGGTTGGGCTCTGTAGCGGAGACGTAATGTGTTTCCTGTGAGGTACGGACTGAATTGCTATATATTCTGCCTACACAGTGTATCTGCATGTTCCGTATGGTTCTCACAATAAACAGCGACTGTTTCCCTAAACAGCATTAACCGGTTGGGCTTTGTAGCGGAGACGTAATGTGTTTCCTGTGAGGTACGGACTGAATTGCTATATATTCCGCCCACACGGTGTATCTGTATGTTCCGTATGGTTCTGACAGTAAACAGCGACTGTTTCCCTGAACAGCATTAACCGACTGGTCGTTGTTATGGAGATGCAATTCCACTGCCCGGACTTCCTGCCAAACAGCTGTCACGCCAACTAACAGCTTCAAAGTATGACAATTACAGTCCCTCACTTCAGTCACGCGAGGTTCAGCACTATGCACACTTTGCTGTGGCATGTTCTGAGTTCTGATCCCGGTAATGTTAAAGATAATATCAAGGGGACCGAGTGCGGAATTCACTGCCCTATTTTGCGCAGTGCGTGACGTGTCCCGAGCCCC